TTCCAATAACAAGTATCTAGGCAGCCCCTCCGTAATTATGTCCCTGTATCTTTCGTTATACCTTCCCTCTTTTATTTGTGTCCTTCTTTCCTGTCTCTGCACATCTCGGTCCCTATCTCTCAACTCCCTCCACATCTCCCTACCCACCCTTCGTCTACTATTTATCTCAGTTACCGAGTAGCCCGCTCGTCTATAATAGTTGTCTCTGTCTCCTTTCCCATATCTGATCTTTCCCTCTCTAATTTCCCTCCAACACTCCCCCAAGATCCCGCAGTTTGGCCTCCCTTCTATTCTTTCTTCATATTTCACTGCTCTCCTGCCCGCCTCCACTCTGACCTTATCCACCTTTACCTCTTCCCTCATTATATACCCCGGTGTTTCTCTCGCCACCCCAAGCACCCATCTCCAGTATCTAGCTTGCACGTCCTCCAGCATTCCCTGCTCCCTCCATCCCCATACCTCTGCCCCATACATCATCACATGTTCCTGCCACATTCCTTCCAAAGACTCTTCCCCCAACCCCATACTTGTCCCATCACCTTATTCGCCTTTTTTGCCATAGCTATCACATTCGACCCCTCCCTGTTGTCCTCCCTAAACACATACCCCAAGTAAGTATACTCCCTAACCTCCTCGATCTCTTTTCTCTCCCATCTCCAGTTTTCTGTTCTTTTTCTCCCACATTCTCATCCATCGTTTCCCCTCTCCCCCCTCTCCTAAGATCTGCCCTCGGTCCAACTCCTCCTCCCTCAACTCACTGCACCCATTCAACATATGTTCCAACGTTTCCCATTCCTCCCTGCATAGCCTACACCACCTCTCCTCATCGGCCATCCAGTATCTGTTAGCTCTCTCCTCGTTTCCACAACGGAACCTAGCCACCAACTTCTTCCCTTCCTCATCTCCTTCCAATAACAAGTATCTAGGCAGCCCCTCCGTTATTATGTCCCTGTACCTTTCGTTATACCTCCCCTCTTTTATTTGTGTCCTTCTTTCCTGTCTCTGCACATCTCGGTCCCTATCTCTCAACTCCCTCCACATCTCCCTACCCACCCTTCGTCTACTATTTATCTCAGTTACCGAGTAGCCCGCTCGTCTATAATAGTTGTCTCTGTCTCCTTTCCCATATCTGATCTTTCCCTCTCTAATTTCCCTCCAACACTCCCCCAAGATCCCGCAGTTTGGCCTCCCTTCTATTCTTTCTTCATATTTCACTGCTCTCCTGCCCGCCTCCACTCTGACCTTATCCACCTTTACCTCTTCCCTCACTATATACCCCGGTGTTTCTCTCGCCACCCCAAGCACCCATCTCCAGTATCTAGCTTGCACGTCCTCCAGCATTGCCTGCTCTCTCCATCCCCATACCTCTGCTCCATACATCATCACACTGCTAACCAGACCTTCAAACATAATCTTCCTCGCTGCCACATTCCTTCCAAAGACTCTCTTCCCCCAACCCCATACTTGTCCCATCACCTTATTCGCCTTTTTTGCCATAGCTATCACATGCGACCCCTCCCTGTTGTCCTCCCTGAACACATACCCCAAGTAAGTATACTCCCTAACCTCCTCGATCTCTTTTCCCTCCCATCTCCAGTTTTCTGTTCTTTTTCTCCCACCCTTACAAAACTTCATCATCCTTGTCTTCCCCACATTCACTTCCAGCCCCTTCCCCCTAAAATATCTTTCCAATGTCTTTATCATATCTTTCATCTCCGCCGCTTCTCTCGCCATGACCACGATGTCATCCGCGTATGCTAACATATGCACCTTTCTACCTCCCACCACCAACCCTCCCATTTGCCCCTTCCCCAATCTATCCTCCAGGTCCGCCGTATACAGTGCAAACAGACTTGGGCTCAGCGGACATCCCTGCCTCAGTCCCTTCGTCGTCCAGAACACGTCGCTCAGCTTATCTCCCACTTTTATCCTAGCCATAGTCTCCATGTATATTTCCTTCACTCTCGCAATTAGGTGTTCCGTGATCCCCCTCCTCCCCATCTCCTCCCACAACTTTCCCCTATCCACCTTATCAAAAGCCGCCTTCAAATCTATAAACAGGGCGTACAATTTCCCTCCCTTCTTATCCAGCTCTCTATCTGCCAGATGCTTCAACACGTACACGTTGTCGATTGCTCCCCTTCCCTTCCGAAAGCCTGCCTGCCCATCCGGCAAAATTCCCCCCAACTCCATCTCCTCCTCCAGTCTTCCCAGCAGTATCTTCGTGTATACCTTGTATGCCGAGTCTAGTAGGTTAATTCCCCTGTAGCTCTCTACCCTTCCCTTATTACCCTTTTTATATACTGGGCAAATTACCCCCACTTTCCATCCCTCCGGAATCCCACCCCCTCTCCATACGCTATTCATCCCCTCCAACAACTTCACTCTCACCACCCTTGATGCTTCCAACCATGCCTCGTTCTGGATCGCATCTTCCCCTGGCGCCTTTCCCTTCTTCAATCCCCTAAGCACTGTTTCCATCTCCTCTTCTGCTATCTCCTCTCCCCCATCTCCCCCATAGCCTCCCAAACCCGTTAGCCTCGTTTCAACCCCTCCCAATAATCCCATAAAGTAATTCTTGGAAATTAAATTCCCACTGAACAATTGTACGAAAATGCCAATTGTTGCAGTTTCATCTAATTTTCTTCTCTTCATAATTCATCATCACATTCATTACTAACAGAACTGTCGCTGTTACCACTTTCGACTATTAATTAAAGTATCCTATTTTTAATGCAACAAGTCGTTTTGAAAAATCGCTTTTAGTTTTTGAGAAAACAATATTTGAAGTTTTGATAAAATTTTCGATGTTGCAATTTTCATTGATAACTTGCAAAATTCGCTATAAAATTAATTTCTTGAAGCATCCTTATGGAAATATCACCAATTATTAATTAAAGTATCCCCTTTTTAATGCAACAAGCCGTTTTGAAAAATCGCATTTAGTTTTTGACAAATAAATTTTTGAAATGAACGACAATTGTTTCGAATTTTGTAATTTTCGCCGATTAAGTTTAAAAAATTCGTACAAAATCCATTTCTTGGAATATGAGTATGTAAATTTCTCAAAGTGTTAATAAGAGTGTCCTCTTTTCAATGAACCAACACGTTTTTAAAAATAACTTTTAGTTTTTGAGAAAACAATATTTGAAGTTTTGATCAAATTTTCGATGTTGCAATTTTCATCGATAAGTTTCAAAATTCGCCATAAAATTAATTTCTTGAAGGATCCTTGTGGAAATATCACCAATTATTAATTAAAGTATCCTCTTTTTAATGCAACAAGTCGTTTTGAAAAGTCGCTTTTAGTTTTTGAGAAATAAATTTTTGAAATGATCGACAATTTTCTCGAATTTTGCAATTTTCGCCGATTAAGTTTTAAAAATTCTTATAAAATCCATTTCTTGAAATATGAGTTTGAAAATTTCCCAAAGTGTTAATAAAAGTGTCCTCTTTCCAATGAACCGACACGTTTTGAAAAATAACTTTTAGTTTTTGAGAAAACAATATTTGAAGTTTTGATAAAATTTTCGATGTTGTAATTTTCATCGATAACATACAAAATTCGGTATAAAATTAATTTTTTGAAGGAACCTTGTCGAAATATCACCAATTATTAATTAAAGTATCCTCTTTTTAACTCAAAAAGCCGTTTTGAAAAATCACTTTTAGTTTTGAGAAATAAATTTTTGAAATGATCGATAATTTTTTCGAATTTTGCAATTTTCGCCGATTAAGTTTTAAAAATTCGTATAAAACCATTTCTTGGAATACGAGTATGAAAATTTCCCAAAGTGTTAATAAAAGTGTCCTCTTTCCCATGAACTAACCCGTTTTGAAAAATAACTTTTAGTTTTTGAGAAAACAATGTTTGAAGTTTTGATCAAATTTTAAATGTTGCAATTTTCATCGATAACTTTTAAATTCGCTATAAAATTAATTTCTTGAAAGATCCTTGTGGAAATATAACCAATTATTAATTAAAGTATCGTCTTTTTAATGCAACAAGCCGTTTTGAAAAATCGCTTTTAGTTTTTGAGAAATAAATTTTTGAAATGATCGACAATTTTCTCGAATTTTGAAATTTTCGCCGATTAAGTTTTAAAAATTCGTATAAAATCCATTTCTTGGAATATGAGTATGAAAATTTCCCAAAGTGTTAATAAAAGTGTCCTCTTTCCAATGAACCAACCCGTTTTGAAAAATAACTTTTAGTTTTTGAGAAAACAATATTTGAAGTTTTGATAAAATTTTCGATGTTGCAATTTTCATCGATAATTTTCAAAATTCGCTATAAAATTAATTTCTTGAAGGATCCTTGTGGAAATATCACCAATTATTAATTAAAGTATCCTCTTTTTAATGCAAAAAGCCGTTTTGAAAAATCACTTTTAGTTCTTGAGAAATAAATTTTTGAAATGATCGACAATTTTTTCGAATTTTGCAATTTTCGCCGATTAAGTTTTAAAAATTCGTATAAAATCCATTTCTTGGAATATGAGTATGAAAATTTCCCAAAGTGTTAATAAAAGTGTCCTCTTTCCAATGAACCAACCCGTTTTGAAAAATAACTTTTAGTTTTTGAGAAAACAATATTTGAAGTTTTGATAAAATTTTCGATGTTGCAATTTTCATCGATAATTTTCAAAATTCGCTATAAAATTAATTTCTTGAAGGATCCTTGTGGAAATATCACCAATTATTAATTAAAGTATCCTCTTTTTAATGCAAAAAGCCGTTTTGAAAAATCACTTTTAGTTCTTGAGAAATAAATTTTTGAAATAATCGACAATTTTTTCGAATTTTGCAATTTTCGCCGATTAAGTTTTAAAAATTCGTATAAAATCCATTTCTTGGAATATGAGTATGAAAATTTCCCAAAGTGTTAATAAAAGTGTCCTCTTTCCAATGAACCAACCCGTTTTGAAAAATAACTTTTAGTTTTTGAGAAAACAATATTTGAAGTTTTGATAAAATTTTCGATGTTGCAATTTTCATCGATAATTTTCAAAATTCGGTATAAAATTAATTTCTTGAAGGATCCTTGTGGAAATATCACCAATTATTAATTAAAGTATCCTCTTTTTAATGCAACAAGCCGTTTTGAAAAATCGAATTTGCAATTTTCGCAGATTAAGTTTTAAAAATTCGTATAAAATATTATACGAAAGATTTATCGATAAAAATAACATTCTTTGAGATGGCCTGAAATGTCGTGAAGTGATAACCAACATACTATTCACAGGGAAATTAAATTAATCTTATTTTAAAAAAAATCCTGTTATGATTACAAAAATATTTAACTTCTCGTAATATTATTAATAGAAATCGTTCCAATTCGATAAGAAGAAGGTCGTTGAGTTGAGCTAAGAGGTTACATAGGTTGAAGTTCAAAAAATAATAAAAATCAAAATGTCAAATTCGCGAACTAAGGTAATTTTGACGTTTAAATGTCAAAAATAAAAGAAAATTGTAGGTTAGATTCAAAAATTTTAATTAAATTTGTCGGAAATAAAGCGTCAAAATTAAAAATAATGTTATAATTTTGACATTTAAAATGTAAATGATTTAAATGATGAGTATATGATTGTATTTATGTATTTAAATATATTTCATCAACGTCTCAAAGGGAAATAACAAAATATTATTCACCGTATATAAAATCAAGGCCAACTTTTGTTCTTTTTTAGTTTCTTCTTAATAATTTATTTATTCTTCCTCGTTGTTCTTTCGCGGTGAGATAAAATGTTTTGTGACGTCACGGTTATCCAGAGGCGAGATATAAAACCACGAGCGAATCAAATACTATTTATTATACAGATGAAGTTGTGGTGATTTTAAAGTTTCCAGAAATTTGTGTTTTTTAAGGATTTTTTGACTACAAAAGTAAGGGTTAAATTTAATTTTATTATTTAATTATATTAAAATTAATTTCTGTAGGCGTAAAAATGAAATACTCATTAATTTTTGTCGTATTTCTTCTCATCGCTACATTAAATACCTCCGCAATCGGAGTTTACGAGTTATTTTATGGAAATCGACGCTCTTTCGGGAGAAATTATCCAAGTGGATACGGATATGGAAACAATTACAATCAATTTGCATCTTTAGATTCATCGAAAAGAAGATATAAATCGATTTGTCGCGTTCATGCAAGTAAAGATTTAGCATTTCCCGGGCGAATAGGCAACGCGGTTTGTCCTTAATCAATTTATGTAGTAATAAAAATGTATTAAATAATAATAAATAAGCGAATAAAATGTTTTTTTACCTTCACATTCATGGGAACAAATTGTAGCAGCACCGCATTTCTTACAAACTAATAAATTTCGTTCTAAAATTGTCGCACATTTAAAGCAAATATGTTTTCCTTCGATTTCTGAACCTATAATTATTGGGTTCTCTTCCAAAATTACTTCACCGGCTTTCAAATCTCTCGCTGCAACTAAAAAACTAACCGCAAAATTAGTGTTGAATTTGCTAAATTTATAAAAAGCGTAAATTACTAACTTACCGACCATAAATATCATTACTTTCGATATGGTACATTCTAAATAATCGATTTTTTAAGGTTTTGAGATGATTTTGCTCCAAGTGTAAATTATACTCGAAGATTTAATTTTAGACTTTCTTAAAATACCTAAATATTTGAGTGGGGAGTTTTAGTTCTTAGAGGTTGGTTACAATTATAGCTTAACTATACTTATATCTCTCTTATTGTGATCATGAAAAAAATCTGAAATGGTCTAAAATTGATTACTCCAAAATTTGAGGTAAATGTAAAAAATGAAAAATTTAAAAAATCGCTCCGACTTTATTTATGAAGATACAGAAATGATTTGTGTCTCAAATTAAAGATTAAAATCTCTATTTTAAGAAGGTGCGTTGTAATCAATTAGTTGATTATGAAAAAAATCTGAAACGGTATAAAATTGATTACTCCAAAATTTGGGGTAAATGTCAAAAATGAAAGAAATTAAAAAAATCGCTCCGACTTTATTTCTGAAGATAAAGAAATGATTTGTGTCTCAAATTAAAGATTAAAATCTCTATTTTAAGAGGGTGCGTTGTAATCAATTAGTTGATTATGAAAAAAATCTGAAACTGTCTCAAATTGATTACTCCAAAATTTGGGGTAAATGTAAAAAATGAGAGAAATTTAAAAAATCGCTCCGACTTTATTTCTGAAGATACAGAAATGATTTGTGTCTCAAATTAAAGATTAAAATCTCTATTTTAAGACGGTGCGTTGTAATCAATTAGTTGATTATGAAAAAAATCTGAAACGGTCTAAAATTGATTACTCCAAAATTTGGGGTAAATGTCAAAAATGAAAGAAATTTAAAAAATCGCTCCGACTTTATTTATGAAGATACAGAAATGATTTGTGTCTCAAATTAAAGATTAAAATCTCTATTTTAAGAAAGTCTGTTGAAATCATTTATTCCTAAAAAACTTTTCGCCATCACCTTTCATTCTTGAGTTATGATCGATTTTATAACCATTTTGACATTTTGGTGGTTTTTTCTTTATCACTAGAAAATCATTACAACTAAACCAAATCTGTTTATGAATGATGTCTTTTTAGTTCATAATAAACAATTTATTTCAAAAAAACTTTCCTCCATCACAATTAATTTTTGAGTAATGATCGATTTTGATAACAAAAGTACTCAATTTTGACATTATGGGGATTTTTTCTTTATCACTAGAAAATCATTACATCTAAACAAAATCTGTTCATCAATAATATCTTTCTAGTTCATAATAAACAATTTATTCCTAAAAAACTTTTCGCCATCACCTTTCATTCCTGAGTTATGACCGATTTTAAAACCAAAAGTACTCAATTTTGACATCTTGGTGATTTTTTCTTTATCACTAGAAAATCGTTATAACTAAACCAAATCTGTTTATGGTTGATATCTTTTTAGTTGATAATAAACAATTTATTTCAAAAAAACTTTCCTCCATCACAATTAATTTTTGAGTAATGATCGATTTTGATATCAAATGTAGTCAATTTTGACATTATGGGGATTTTTTTTTGCCTATAACTCCTCAGGGGTACAACTTAGTATAGAGATAAGTTGCGTTAAATCATCTTAATTTATTGTCCTTTTCATGTCTCTGTGTCGGTATTTATGTGAATCATTCTGTATATGTGTAATATGGAATTGAAAATATTCATTGGCAGCCAAACCTATTTTTAGTTTTAATTTACGATATAAATCATTGCTTATTACAAATTTCTATAAGACTTAATCAAAACTAAACTAATTAATTAGCAAAAATAATTATTTTCATTTAAATTAAATATTTAGTAATTTTCGATTTTTCAAAGTTGGCAACCATTCATTTTGACATTTGACGTTTTGCGTTATCTTATTTACATCATAATTGGTAATTTTTTTTATAATCGAAAAATCAAAGTTATTCACTTTTAAAACCGATTGATGTCGTTAAATTCGACATATTCTTAAAACTGTTAATTACACATATAAACGTGGTATGTTGGTTTCATGAAATAATCGAAGTCAAAATGGATATAACGGCTCGTTACGAGTCGAAAATCAAGAGATTATTAACCAAGTTGTTGGATCCAACGTACGAAATCTCCAACGATCTTTATTTAAACACTTTCATAGCACATCTTTCAGGAAAATACGACCAAGGTAAAAAATTAAAAAATTTTTTTTTTGAGGTTATGTCGAAAGTTATTTTTTTAGATTTCTCTCAAAACATTCAAAATCTTCCAATTTTAACGGAATGGATTATTGAAGCTGTATCAGTTTGGGAGAACCATACAAATCCATCAAAAACAGCTTCAATTTTTATTTTAAACCTCGTTGGGTTACTATCAAAAAGTGATGAACGCTTTACGTACTTTAAAACGTTTAATATTTATAATAGTTTAACGACTTTATTAAAAATTAAGTCCCCAGCGACGTCTCCAATTGTAAAATTAGGGTTTATAAAGATGTTATCCTCCCTTTTAGAGCATAAGTTAGGGTTAGATTGGTTAATTTCCACTGATAATTGGAGAGAAATATTAAATTTTAGTTTACAATCAAACACAATTTATGTAATTCGAGAATCCTCAGAGTTTATTGTTTGCTTGTTAAAAAAAAGCATTGATTTTAACGAGATTTTTTGTAAATTAGTTGTAAAAAACATCGTGGGGAAACTAAATGAGTGCTTAGTTTGCGAAAGTTTTGGCAAAGAAATCGATGAGGACGTCTTAAAAAGACGTTCTGAGCCAATTCTAAAATTAATTTTGTACATTTTCGATAATTTTTTATCCCAAAACGTTAATAATTACGAAAATAACGATTTCCGCGTCGCTAATTTATTCATTTTAACGTTTTCGATCGAAAACATTTTATGGAACTACTCAAATTGTTCTAAATCGATCGATTTTACATCAGAAATCGATAATTGTTTGTTATTAACGTTCTTTATAAAAACGGCGTCGATTAAATCGCGTTTAATCCCGCCAGATTCGCTCCGATCTTGTGGGGCATCAATAATTAAATTGTTATCATTAAAAATTTCGAAACACCAACATTTAAACGTGCTCAAAATCTGTTTTTTCGCCAGCCAAAGTTGGAATTTTTTATCAAAACGCATTGAGAAGCCCACGAATGAAACTGCGTTATTAAAATTAGAGAATCATTTAGTCCCGATTGAGCTCCTCCCGATTATTGTGGTTACGTTTAATCATTGCGGGAAAGTTATCACCGATTTGGACATCGATGAGATTCGCGATGAGTTTATTTCGAAGTTGTTTAAAACGATGAGTGAGGGCGTGACGAGGATTGCGTTTCAATTTAAGGACCAATTGATCCAATTCCCGGATATTTTCCCCTTGGCGATCGCCGCTTTGAGGAATATTTTAAACGGGAGGAAAAATTTTCGAAGGAGTCGCGCCATTTTAGTGTTTCAAGGTTGCGTTTATTCGTTTAAAGACATCACGATGTTTCTTAAAGAATCGATCGGGGTGAATCAAGAACAACGCGAGAACGTCGAAATGTTTTTAAAAAACCCCTCGTATTTCATCAACCTCATTAATTGCTTATCCGTTTTAATCAACGAAAACAACATAACTTGGTCGGAAAGCGTCGAAACGATTTGCGTCTTAAACGTAACAATCGATTTTTTAAACTTGCCAATCCCCACCTGGAATTACCGCGTTAAAATCGAAGCTTTAAAGCTGCTAAATTTATCGATTTCGAAGTACATGTCGCCAAATTTAACTTTATTACTCGATAACACCCAAGATTCGTGTTTGAACCAATTAGGGCCGTTATTATTAAACAATTTGAGCGATTTAAACTGGGAAATTCGCGATTCCGCCTTAGAGGTGTTAAAAACGATCTTGGATTTTTCTTATTCGAAATTTCCGGGGTTTCGGGATTTAATTAAAACCTCAAATTTGTTAGATTTCGTTATAAAATTGGTTTTAAATGATTCTGAGTCGTTTGTGCGCGCTTCTTGTTGGAAGTGTTTGCAAGAAATCATAAAAATAAACGATTTTTGGCTGGAAATCATCAATTTGAAGAAAGATCTAATTAAAACGAGTTTGATTCGGGTTAAATCCGAACCGGAGGCGATCGTGCGTGTTGAAATCGCGAAATTTATCCGAATTATTTATGAATATCAAGAATTTCCGGGTGATTTAATCGATGTGGTGTATGATTCGATGTTTTATGCGGCCACGAAAGATTTTCATTGGGAGGTGAAAACGAATTCGTTGGATTTTTGGGGGAAAGTGATTTTGAATCATCTCGAAGAACAAGGGATGATCGATAATGCGTTTCCTGAAATTACATTTTCAAGGGAACAAAAAAAGATTATTCGATTGACCGATAACGCGATTAAAATACGGTTAAAAAAGGTTTTAAAAAAATTAGAACTAACCGGGTGTTTAACCGTTTTAATTCGTGGATTAAACGACGATTGTGATTTAGAAGTTGTTAGAACGTCGATTGAAAAAGTTAAAAAGTTTGTGATTTTATTAAGGATGTATAAACTAATCCCAGAACGTAAAAAATCGTTTGAAGACTTACAACTTCAATACATCCAAAATTGCAATCAAATCCCATCTCAAAGTTGTAGCTTAAATGTAGCAGAAAACGACCAATTTGTAACAGAAAACACAAATTTATCCATTTCCGATCAGATAATTAACGAAATTGTGAACACAACTGATTTAAATTTGTTAGAAAATGTTTCAAATTCGCTTTATGTCGAAGAGAATTTCGAAGGGATTGAGAAACGTAATCAATTGATTAGTGTCGATGATTTTTTAAAGGCGATTGATACCGATTTGGACGCGATTTTGCGGTCGAAAACTTCGTGGTTAGCTACTTTGGATGATTTTGGGTCTTTGTTAGATGATATATTAAAAGATTACGATACTAAAAGGTGCTCAAAAGTTAACGAAATGGATTGCTATTAGACTGAAAATTTAAAATGTGTAATAAAACACATAAACACTCCAAATATTTAGGATTTAAACTGAAAAAAAAAAAAAAATAAATAAATAATAGGAAAAATTAGAATAAGAAACAAACTGTTATTTAAGTTTAGTTTGCGTTATTTTGTTGAATAATTTTTAGGTTTGTATTAAACGTTTAATAAGAAAATATATAAAATGTACTTGAGGGATGATTTTTCGTTAATTGTTACGTGTTCTGCCATTCCTTCACCGATCTTTATTCCTGTGGTTGTATTTTCGTATATACAACTCAGAATTAGAGGAAAGATACCAGGACATGAAGTCTTAGGAGTAAAATATCATCGTAATTATGACTGCGCTATTTATACATATACGCAACAACATAGAGAATGCCCATTTAGTATCGACTATCATAAGTCATACTACGCAATCTCACGGTGATGGTTAAGGATATAAGAGTACAATATATAGAGGATGTTTTTTTAAGCCAGATAGAACTTACGAAAGGGTTAACTGTGATACTGCACTCACTTTTTGATATTTATGATCAGTATACTCTGGCAAATCATCATGAACAGATTGACGCTTGAACAACGCTACCAAATTATCCAGATTTAAGTACGAAGGCTTTCACAGCCGGTGTAAATTAAACTAAAATTAGAACTAAAACTAGAAACTTTCGTGTTTTGCCATGCGTTTTTGACGTTTCGGATGCCATGTTGCAACCTTCTTCAGAAACTGGTTCGAAGTGACGAGATCAAAAATCGGTAACTATATACAGGGTGTCACACAAAAAACGCCCAAACCTGTAGCACTGTTATTTACATGAAATGGTTTTATAAATACTATGATTCATGCTACACATAAAATTTTTCCAACGCCATCTTCAATTTCAAGCAATTATTAACTTTTGTTTTTCAAATTGTTGCGTATATTTTTCATCACGTCATTGGATAGAGATTGTTTTTCTGAATCCATTCACGAACAATACATCCATTTGAAATGTAATTTTAGCAGAAAGAAGACATCCTGTATATACACAGTTATATATACAGGTCCAACGCCATCTTCAATTTCAAACGATTGTCAACTTTTGATTTTCAAATTGCTCGGTATGTTTTTCTTCACGCTATTGGATAGAGATTCTTTTTCTCAATCCATTAATGTGTAACACATCAACATTAATTGTAATTGTAGCATAGAAAAATATTAAAATAGTTTCCTAGCATTCTCTTAAAGTAACTTGTGTTATACTGTGGTGTGGCATGGAAAAAATAACAAAACAACTTATAAGTATCATTTACAACTGCTTCGGGCATTGAAATAACATTTAATGACTGTTATCAGTTTTGCGCGTTATTTTTTTCCATGGCACACTACAGTGTTACAGAAGTGACTAAGACAATGTTCGGAAAATGCTTTAATTGTTTTTCTCTGCTAAAATTACAATTAATGTTAATGTATTGTAGATCAATGGGTTCAGAAAAAATTCTCTATTCAATAACGTGAAGAAAAACATACCGCGCAATTTGAAAATCAAAAGTAGATAATCGCATGAAATTGAAGAGGGCATTGGAAAAAGTTTATTTGTAGCATGAACCATAGCATTCATCAAACCATTTCATTTGATACCTCGTTCATGAAAATCGGAAAGTAAATGACAGAGTTACAGCTTGCGGCGTTCTTGTGGGACAACCTGCGTATATACAGGTGTTTTTTCTCTGCTAAAATTACATTCAAAATGTATGTATTGTACATCAATGGATTCAGAAAAAAAATCTCTATCCAATGACGTGAAGAAAAATATATGGAGCAATTTGAAAAACAAAAGTTAATAATCGACCGAAATTAAAGATGGTCTTAGAAAAAATTTAGTTGTAGCATGAGTCATAGTATTTATAAAACTATTTCCTTTGATACTTCGCTCATGAAAATCGGAATGTAAATGACAGAGTTACAGCTTGGGGCATTTTTGTGTGACACCCTGTATAAGTCGGAAAAACTAATTAATAATCAGTTAACGCTAATTACAAGCTAATTATTAACTAATTGCGTCGCGTCGGGTGTGAGGCGGGAAGAGGTCTTCGTGTTCACCACCATCTTCCATGTTCTGCTAAGCTTCCAGCCATCCTCTCTGTTGACGTTATTTTTATGTCGGTAAATCTCTATGGCTTCTCTTGTCAGTCTTTGGTAGTATCTGTTGTCCCTAGCCAGCACCTTTGTTTGTTCGAAGTCTATTCGGTGCCCCTCTGCATGGCAATGTTCCGCAACCGCCGACTGCTGGATCTTCTTCAACCTTACATCTCTCTCATGCTCCTTGATGCGGCACTCGACCACAGCTACACGATAGTCGATAGACTCCCGCTCCTTTTAATGGAGTTAGTTTGTCTTTGGCTATCGGGAATATGTTCCGAATTTTGCTGACCGTGCCGTACCGCACTACGATGTCGTTCTTCTTGAGGTGCCTAGCAATTCGTTCCGTTACACCTGAAACATAGGAAAGACAGATAAATCCAAGTGGTTTCGTACTTACCGTGTCCTCTTTCTGCTTTCGCTGCTTGATGGCCTGGTTGATGTCCCTCGAAGTGTATACATTCTTCTGCAGCACGCCTCGTAGAAAGTGTTGCTCCTTCTTCAAGTTCTCTCCTTCACATAGTCTCGCTGCTCGCTGAAATAATGTACGGATCACGGACCTCTTCTGTTGGGGATGATGATGTGAACATACCTGTTGGTATGGGTCTTCTTTCGATATACACCAAGTTCTATATCTCCATTTGTCGTCCTGGTGACCAACACATCTAGGAAAGGTAGTTTTTTGGCAGTTTCTGTTTCCATTGTGAACTTAATCATAGGATGTTGAGAGTTCAAGTAATCCAAGAACTCTTGGAGCCGTTTTTGACCATGTTGTCATATCACAAACGTGTCATCCACATATCGGAGCCATAGTTTTGGTTTCCACTGGCTCTTCTTCAAAGCGTCCTCTTCGAATAATTCCATGTAGAAATTAGCTATAACTGGCGATAGTGAAGATCCTATGGCTGCCCCTTCGAACTGCTCGTAAAATTCTCCTTTCCAGCTGAAATACGTCGACGATAAGCAATACTCCATCAGATCTGGCACGTATTCTGGTAAACCCTCCGGAATGAGTTTTCGGCGAAGACCCTCTACAGCATCCTTAACTGGTACCCTAGTAAAAAGGGATTCCACATCGAAAATTACCAACATATCACCAGCATCCAGCTTTACACCTTTTACCGATTCCACAAAATGTGTAGAATCCCTGACATACGATTCTGTGTCCTGTAAAGGGAGACAGAATCTTTGCAAGATGTTTGGCCAGCTGGTATGTTAGGGAGTTGATGGCGCTGACGATAGGGCGGAGGGGGACGTCTGGTGTGTGAATCTTCGGTAGTCCGTAGATTCTTGGTGGTACCGGCGCCTGCACAAACAAACCTTTCTGCTGTTCTGCTAGAATTCCTATGGATTTTATCAGTTTCTTTATTTTTCTTACGATTTTGTCTGTGGGGTCCTTCTTGATCTTCCTGTAGGTGGCTGGGTCCAGTAGGTTCATCATTTTGTCGTCGTATTCTTTCCTGTCCATAACAACGGTGGCAATCCCCTTTGTCTGCTGGTAACACGACGATTTCTGACTTTTTAAAAATAACGTCAACAGAGAGGATGGCTGGGAGCTTAGCAGAACATGGAAGATGGTGGTGAACACGAAGGCACCTCTTCCCGCCTCACACCGGACGCGACGCAATTAGTTAATAATTAGCTTGTAATTAGCGTTAACTGATTATTAATTCGTTTTTCCGACTTATATACAGGGTGTCCCGTATCTTCCGCATCAGAGCATTATACGGTTGTAGGATACATTATTCTGAAGCGATCTTTCTAATAAAATTTTTCCGAAATGTTTATAATAACCGCGGAGAACGGTTTTAAGATCACCAATGGCGTGTTAGTAAACGCCGAAGGGAACGCCTTCGGAGATCGTAAATCTCACTCAGGCAATCGATCACACCCCCGGTCGGTCCGCCGTGCCCAGCCCAACTCAACCCAACCCAACCCACTTTATGTATAAATTTAATAATTTATTGCAAGAATGAAATTGCTTTCCAACATAAGGTTTGGTGATACGCAGGTAGAAATTAGACGAGGTTCGGTCACGAAGCGAATTTTTTTTGTTTTTAAAAAAATACGAAGTAATTGAATTGAACCACATGTTAAAGAATAAAGTGATAAAGACGAATAAAGTCGTCAGAGTGTTTGTTGCATTCGTTTAGTGAAGACATTTTTGTTAAAATGAATTATAGCTTAGAAGAATACACAGACATGCATTTAGTTTTTGGAGAGGCTCGGTGCAGCGGTCGAAGGGCGGCGAGATTGTACGCAAATCGCTACCCAAATCGAAGACACCCGGATGCAAACGTTTTTGTGCGGTTGGATTCCCGATTGAGGACGGAAGGAAGATTAATTGCTCATCGCGGGGAAGGCAGACCACAACGCGGTGTTCGAGACCATGAACGAATTCTAGAGGAAGTTGAGGAAAATCCGACAATGAGTACGAGGAAATTATCAACAGTTTTAGATATACCAAAAACAACGATAAATAGAGTGCTCCGCAGTAATAACATACACCCCTATCATTATTCGGCTGTGCAGGAGTTACATCCAGGGGATGCGGAGATGCGCCTGGAATTTTGTCACGAGTTGCTAAGACGCCATTATGCTGACGGAGAATTTCTGTCCAAGATACTCTGGACCGATGAAAGCATGTTTACCAGGGCAGGCTGTTTTAATCGGCATAATTTACATCATTATGCCGATCAAAACCCGCACGTAACCCAGGTAAAATGCTTTCAGCGGCGCTGGAAGATCAACATTTGGGCAGGAATTATTGGTAATAACATCATTACCTACGAGTTGAACCCGTCGCTTAATGTAAGTAATAATTTGCAAAATATTAATAACAAGCACCTGATATAGTAATTAAAAAATACTATGTTATTTACAGGGTCAGCAATACGCAACATTCCTACAGGATGTTCTTCCAGAATTCCTAAACGCATTGCCAGATAACGAACGACCCAGTTTCTTCCAGCAAGATGGTGCACCGCCCCACAACATCCGGCGGGTAACTGCATGGCTGAACCAAACCTACCCGGGGCAATGGTTTGGTCAATACGGTCCGATTCGATGGCCGCCTCGGTAAATATTAAAATTTTTATTACTAGTTTCATTAAAAAACGTACTTACTTAACGAATTAACTAATATTCTATGTTTTATTATAGTTCTCCGGATTTAACTCCGCTGGATTTCTTCTTTTGGGGATACCTCAAACAAGAAGTTTACCAGCAGGAGTCGGAGGATGTAGAGGACGTCATCGCCAAATTCCATGCGGCAACGGTGCTGATCACACCAACAATGCTGGAGAATGTTCGTCAAGACATCGTGACACGGGCCCATAAATGCATTGCAAATAATGGGTTGCATTTCGAACAACAGTAGACTCCCCTGGATGTAACTCCTCCACAGCCGAATAATGATAGGGGTGTATGTTATTATTGCAGAGCACTCTATTTATCGTTGTTTTTGGTATATCTAAAACTGTTGATAATCTCCTCGTACTCATTGTCGGATTTTCCTCAACTTCCTCTAGAATTCGTTCATGGTCTCGAACACCGCGTTGTGGTCTGCCTTCCCCGCGATGAGCAATTAATCTTCCTTCCGTCCTCAATCGGAAATCCAACTGCACAAAAGCGTTTGCATTAGGATATCTTCGATTAGGATAGCGATTCGCATACAATATTTTATTTTTTTTATATTTATTTAAATTCTGGAATAAAACATTTAAGTTCTTTGTTTTTACTTATTACTTAATTTTGACCGATTTATATCTTTTTTCGTTACTTTGTCAGCATCGTACGACAATTATTGTATTGTTTGTCAATTATTGTAGTTCGACCTCGAATCACTCGTTTGGATGTTGTAACTGTTCATTACCAAAGCGTTAACTACATCGATTTTATTTCAAAAAAACTTTTAAAACATTATTTAGACAATCGTCAGTGTTCTAAAATATTTTGATATTTTCAGATTTGTTTAATAATTTTTTTTTGGGATTTTACTTTAAGTTTTATCACATTATCCTTTAACATATGGTTCAATTCAATTACTTCGTATTTTTTTAAAAACAAAAAAAATTCGCTTCGTGACCGAACCTCGTCTAATTTCTACCTGCGTATCACCAAACCTTATGTTGGAAAGCAATTTCATTCTTGCAATAAATTATTAAATTTATACATAAACTGGGTTGGGTTGGGTTGGGCTGGGCGCGGCGGACCGACCGGGGGTGTGATCGATTGCCTGAGTGAGTTTACTAACACACCATTGGTGATCTTAAAACCGTTCTCCTGCGGTTATTATAAACATTTCGGAAAAATTTTATTAGAAAGATCGCTTCAGAATAATGTATCCTACAACCGTATAATGCTCTGATGCGGAAGATACGGGACACCCTGTATATGTAGTTACCGATTTTTGATCTCGTCACTTCGAACCAGTTTCTGAAGAATGTTGCAACATGGCATCCGAAACGTCAAACCTTTTATTAAAAGACGCACGGCAAAACCTGAAAGTTTCTAGTGTTAGTTCTAATTTTAGTTTAATTATCCAGATTTACTTTAAAAATCAGTCATCAATTCGCATAACTTATAGACGCTTCGTGATTTGTATGGCGCACATAATTGTCCATCTGAGCAAGCCATTCGTTTAACTGTGGATAGATTTCATACCACATACTCTCTAAGTGATGCAATAACATCAACACGTCGAAAAAATGTGCGTGCTGAAGAGAATATCGCCGCTGTAAACGAAAATGTGAAAGAAGATTCAAATTTATCGATTCGTCGTCGGTCGCAGGAATTAGGGCTCTCTCCGTCCACTACTTGGAAAATTTTGCCCAAAGATCTTGGCCTACACCCGTTTAAGATCCAGCTGGTGCAGGAATTAAACCGCGAGACCATCATATGCGTCGTTCTTTCGCCGATTAGACTCTAGAGCAGTTGGAAACTGATCCCATGTTTTATCGCAAAATTGTGTTCAGCGATGAGACTCATTTTTGACTTAACGGGCCGCATATGGAGTGAAACCAATCCACAACAGACCCTACAGACTCCATTACATCGAGAAAAATGCACCGTTTGGTGTAGAGTTTGCACTCTGGTGGCATCATTGACCTTATTTTTTCAAAAATAAAGTCGGAGCTCGAAAGTCGATGATCAATGTTTTTTTGTTTGAAAATATGGATGACATTGATCTGGGCGAGATGTGGTGTCAACAGGACGACGCTACGTGCCATACGGCGACCGCAACCATCGACTTATTGACATCAAAATGTGGCGATAAGTTGATTTCGAGAAATGGATGACATGGCAATTGGCCTCCAAGGTCGTGCGATTTGACACCTCTCGATTATTTCCTGTGGGGCCACGTGAAGTCATTGGTTTATGCTGATAAACCAGCAACAATTGACACCTTGGAGGCCAACATTGTTCGTGTTATTCGTGACATACGGCCAACAATGCTCGAAAAAGTGGCCCAAAATTGGACTTCCAGAATGCGCTTCGTCAAGAACAGCCGCGGTGCCCATATGCCCAAAATCATTTTTAAATGTTAAATGCCATGTACACAGGAAAAAATCGTGTCGTGTAAAAATTTTAGAGTAGTTGGTAAAAAGAATTAGAGTAAAAATTTTAATATCACATGGTAAAAATAACTCTAATGTACACTATATTTAATTTTAATATAGAGTTCATATATTATTCACTTAATAGAGTAGTTTTTACAGTTCTCTAAAGGAGAGTTCTTTTTTACTTATGTTAGTGAAGTTATGTAATATATAAAACATTAAATTTTACACTAGACGTGTACTTTTCCTTCGGGTACTTCGTAGGCACCGCACTATTTTGCTCGGGATTACTCGTCGGTACCACGTGATCAACATGTGGTGTGATACAGCTAAAATTTAACGGTCATCTACTAAACGAGTCGGAACTCGATAGCGTCTCGAGACCTGATTTACGCGATATAGAAAGAAAGAACGATTATTTTTATTTTAATTATGTTTGCCAAAATAAAACATTCATGATGTGAAATTAGTGGAACTTCCGGAAGATTTTACATACAAGTTCCTTGTGAAGATTTGTAAAAATGTGCAACTTGGTGCAACTATACATATAGGAAACTTATAGAAGACTCATTAGATGCAGTTTTGATGGTGACTCGATGGAAACTTTAAAATGAATTAAG